GGGACCGGGCGGCCTTGCCGCGACCGGAGAGACCGGAGCCCTTGCCGGTGGCCGGCGGTGTCCCCTGGCCCGCGCAGGTAGCTTAGTGACCCCGCCGCCGCCTCGCCCTGCCCCGCAACGCGCTTCTGAGTCGTGTTTTTTCTCTCTTTGCCCGGCTGCCCCCCTGACCGTGCCCAAGGTAGGGAAGCCCAGCAGGAGCAAGCACAACACGCTGCCCGGCGGCACCCTGCAGATCCGCTCCCTCGGCAAGGACGACCACGGCGAGTGGGAGTGCGTCGCCACCAACGTCGTCGCGAGCATCACTGCCAGCACCCACCTTACCGTCGTAGGTGCGTAGCGTCTCCTTGGAGTGCCATTTATTGGTAGAGCTGCCTCTTTCTGTTCTGTTATCTGCGGACACAGCGGTTCTGCTGCTATTTCTTGCAGAAATTCCAGGTGCCCTTTGCTTCGAGTCCCCTCGAATCGCGGCTGGGAGCAGCCCCCTTGCCTTTGCCAGCCGGCGCGCGGTCTTGCTCCCTCTTAACCCCCCCTCTCTCCCCGCAGGCACAAGCCCTCACGCCCCGACCAGCGTGCACGTTGTGGTCGCCATGACCTCCGCCAACGTCTCCTGGGAGCCCGGCTACGACGGTGGATACGAGCAGACTTTCTCAGTTTGGTACGGCCCTCTGTGAGTCATCCTGGCATGCTTTGCTCTCTGCTTCTTTTCCTTCCTAGCCGAGCTTCGAGCAGCCGGGGGGGAGGAGGGCGGTGAGGGTGGCGTGCCCGGCTCTGTGCCCGTGGGCGTTACGGGGCTGAGCTCCCGCTGGGCGCTTCGGAGACATGGGGGGTGGTGGGATCATGTAGTTCCCGTGTTTCTTCTCCCTTCTGTGCTAGCCGGTGCCTCCGTCTGCCCCAGCAGGTTTTCTTCTGCTGATGGTACAAGGGAGATGCTTTGCATTCATCTGACTTTGCCTCTGGCATCTAATTTCAAGATAAACTGTTTATGAAGCTTAATAGCCAGGGAGAGGGTGGAAAATGCAACCTTTATAGAGCGCGTTCCTGGAAGAGCTGTGACTAAGCAGAAATGATCTCTCCTTTCTCTGTGGCCCCCGCGAGGTGGTTAAATCCCGGCTGAGTCCATGACCAGCTGCTGGCCGGGTCTGAGCATCGTGGGGCTTTGCTCCCACTGCTCCTGGGCCAGCCTGTCCTAGCCGGTACCCAAAGCTGGCGGGTCGATCCCACCTTCCCACAACAGGCCTGGGCTCAGCCCTGTCGGCTTTGTCTTGGGGCAGGGGAGGGTGAAACGAAGCTGCAGCAAGGTCAGGGTTCTGTATGGGCTCTGCACTTGATCTTGTCTCCCTCTTCTGAAGAGCCATCCTTGGAAACGTGGAGGGGGATGGTGCCTTCCCTTCCTGGGTCTGGGCTGACGTTCTTCAGCCTTTCTTCTTGCTCTCTCTTTCCTTCCTTGCCTTAATTTGCCCCGATGGAGGCCGCTGATGGAGCGGAGATAGGCTGGATGCTGCTCGTAATGATTTCTGCTCTGCTCCAGCCTGAGGCTGGACGCTTGCAGGGTGGGGCTGGGCAGTCTGTTGGGAGATGGAAAAAAGGAGGAATGGAGCGAGCAGAGAAGAGTGAGGGAGCGAGCGGAGCAGCGCAGACCTTGCTTTGATGAGAATGTCCTTGGGAAGGAGTGGTTAAACCTCTCTGCTCTGGAAAAGTGGCTCACCTCGGAGGGAGGTGGCAGCTGCTGCCGCTGCGGGGTTCCTGCGTC